ATATAAAATATTATAAAATATTAAAATTCGATAACACCGAATATTCGGATTTTCGTAAAATAATAGATATTCCTCTAAATATTCTAAGCATTATTCCTAAAATAAATATAGAATTTCTGAAGCCCCAGAAAAAATCGACATTTATCGAAAAAAAAACCTTTTCCCAAATAAATTATTTTCTATACGTGTCAATCTCTCTTTTCTCGAAGAAAATCAGCGTGTGAAATATAGTTCGTCTTCCACAATTTTGTCCCAAAGATTTTCATCCCAGTCCCGACGATCTTCACGAGACCAAGATCCAACCGACGAAAGAAAGAAAGAAAGGGGTCTTCGTAAAATATACGTGACACTTTTGCCTTCTACGCGCCACTGTCCACGAAGACAGCTCGCACTTGACCTCCTGTTTCTCGTTCAGGTGAAAAATGGCCGGTTTCAGTCGCCGGAATTTTCCTTTCTACGCAGCAAAGTGGAAATTCCTCCTCGCAATTTCTCTCCCTAATACATCTTCCCCTCTCGGACGATTAATCTACTTTTCACCGGTACACTCGAAGAGCTGATTATCCACCGCTGACGATACTACACTTTCGATCCGATCGACCGATAAATTCGATCTTCAGAATTTCGCGGTGGAACATTTCTAAACGTTTCGCTCGAACTAGCGTCGATAGAACGTGAAAATTGTTTGTACAGCGTATAATACACGGTTGAAACGGATAGTGAACGTTTCGTCGATCATTTCTAACAATGGAAACGTTCATAAATATTGAAATAATAGTTAATGCGGCGCGTGCAGCGGAACGATCAGCCGAGACACGCGGAAAATCATTTTATCTGCGAATGCGACATTCGTGATTGATAGAGGCTGTTTAATTTGTGGTGTTTCGATTGATTCCACGAACGAGTGAACACGCCTCGATTCAACATCCCTTTAAAATTCAGCCTTTGTCCGGCGCGGCGAATATTTAGCGATCGGTCGCGCCTAAATTATTTTGTGAAACGTTACGCCGCTCTGCTACCATTCGTTGCACTTGTTCCATCGTAAATATTAGGTTTTCTCATTTGTAATCAATTATCTACATTGTTACAATAATACAATTAACTAAAATTAAAATCTGCCCCTTGTTCGTCCTTTCACCCGTGTAAGGCGGGTTGCTCGACGCCTGGCGCCTAAGGTCCGAACGTAAAAACTCTTCCTACTCGAAAACAAAGCGAAAATTGACATAAATTCGTACCACACGAAATGTTTCTTTCACGATTCTCTATCAGTCGATCTCTAATTCCCGAACACCCACTTAAATTTATCCCACCCACGCGCTCTGTGGCTTCTTAAGTCCTCGAAATACCCCCAGGTTCTCAAGCGAATTCTTAAATTTCGTTTAACTTCCACGAGTCGTAAATCGAACGGAGAGAAACTTTGGTCGACGGTAAAACCTAACCTTTTAACATTATTGCCATTACTCTGGAACCGAGTGGACCCCAGAAATTTCGCGGGAACGCATTACCCCTGGTGGTTTATTATCGAAAACAATTCCACGGGGGTTGCTCTCGATACTCGTAAACGTTGAAATCTCGATTCTGAAAACTGTTTGGTTAGGTTTTTCCATCGATCTGTACGAGATGAGAGAGAGATGTTGCGTGGCGAGATTGCCACGATTCGGTGAATCGAAACGTAGACGAACGTTACGTGCGATACTTTCGTCGAGATAGCCTCTAGAAGACGAAGGTCAAGGAATAAATCCCCCTGATATATGGAGTCGATAAGGCCGCGATGAAGCGATGAAGTCGAGAGCTGGCCAGCGCTGCGTGTGATAGCCTTTTGCTCCATTGCATTCTGATCGAGCCAATTTCATTGGTTCCAGCCGCTATAGCGGCAAAGTTCCTGGGAATATTCCAGCAGCCCTCTTGCTTTCTCTCTCTCTGCTATCTTATTAAAAGACGATCATTGTTCGTTCGCGATGAGCTGCTCGTTACACGGTAACATAATCCTGGGAAGGAAGATCCAACGAGAATTGGAATTTCTCAGGTGCTTGCTTTCTTCGGAGCTGCCAAGTACGTTGTATGCCCCATCGTTAATGTACAGGGTGTTCCAAAAACGCACGTTATCCGAAAATGCTTCGAAGCTTCTGATGCACTTTTTTAAAAATTTTTTATGATAAAATATTGTATTTATCAGCCTAAAAAATCTATTCAGAGCCCAGATATACACTATGGGCCAAAAGTTTGGGATCACCTGCCAATTTACGGTAATATTGTGTCTGCTACTAATTCTTTATAGGTTTGAAGTTGCTGTTGTGGAGATCAATAGCACTCTATCTTGAATGATATTAAAATTGCTAACTTTTTTCTGGAAATTTTTGTGTAATTTCCAATGCACAGTGATTCCAAATATTTGGTCAGTAATGTAAATTTTCACCTTCTTTATGACACCATTTTTTATTTACCATAATTAGCCTTTTCGGAGAACATATTTCCGAAGTTAGAAAAAAGTGTTCTAACTCTTCATGTAATCATGTTTTATTCATTTTTAATTAATAACGAATTACACAGTTATTCACTGAATTTCTTTTCTTTTCTATTTCTTCTTTCTGAATTATTGAAATAAAATTGACTTATATACAGTTATTCACTATATTCTCATAGGTTCGCTACAAAAAACATTAAAATCCTCAAAAAACCTAATCATACACGTAGTCAGTGTTCCCGGAAGAGGTGAAACAGTTTGATCCTCGTTCAGGCATCCAACAACAGCCAGGAGTACAGTTTCGAACGCAATCTGTCGATTCAACTTTCCCCGTACAAAGGCCTCCTCCGACAATCATCAGACAAGTTGACGAACGGTGTTGCATCCCGATGCAGCTCTCGAATGCAATCTCGAAGGCGTGTAAACGTCACGCGGGACTCGAATCGTGAAATTCCAGGCTAAGTCGTTGGAAATCTCGAGCCTGGCTGCTCAACTTTATTCACATCGTGTACACTCGTGCGAGTATTAATCTCGCGTGAACGAACGTGGCAAGTGTGTGGCATTCGCGAGCATAGCGTGATAGTTAATCCTCCTCGTAGTTGCTACAACGCCATCGCCTCTATTATCGCGTCTATTGTCGTTCCACGTATTCCAACATAGCGGATTCTCTCCGGAGTTTCTAATTTCCCTTTCGTATTCCGAGCACTCGCGCGTATCGTGGCTCCAGGATCCTCGAGATATATAGGGGCTCGAGACACTGTCGATGAGTCAGAGGACCAGGAGTTTCTCTCCCTCGATAATCCGGAGAATCGCTGATCCTGCGGTGCTTCCGATAAATCCGGGCATAAAAATGAGATCGATCCGGGCGATTGCGCGGAGGGGAGCTGCAAGTAATTTGCGTAAGCAGAGGAAGACTGTTCGCGTGTGCCTGGCTGAGTTTAGGGGCCTTCTTGGGAGTAAGGAGAGGTGGGAGGTGGAGAGGGAATAGGGTGATCGACAGTCGGTGAGAGATGAGTGTTCTGAATTGGAAAATTTTGTGGAGAATAGGGAAAAATTTGGAGGAATGTTTGAGAGTTGGTGTGTGAATTGGGGGATATTGAGTAATTAACTGATTCACACATATCGAGTGATACATCCTTCGAATAGAACAATCTTTTGAAAAATAGGGAAAAAGTTCAGTGGAATATTTGAGGGTAGATGTGTGAATTAAGGAATATTGAGAAATTGAGAATCTCAGTGCGGAATATTAAAATTAAATAGATTGATTGACACATATTATCCTTTGAATAGAAAATTTTTGGAAAAATAGGAAAAAAATTCAGTGGAATATTTGAATTAGAGAACATTGAGGAATTGAGAATCTCAGTGCAGGACATTAAATCTAAATATACCGATAGACATGTTAAAAACTTTTCTGAAAAACAGAGAAAAATTCAGTGGGATATTCAAGAGTACATATTAGCATTAAAAAATACGAAAAAATTGAAAATTTCAATAAAGAACATCACAACCAAATAAACTCTCATATATCGAGTGATAAGAAAAGTTTTCTAAAAAATGATAAAAAGATTTCAGTAAAACATCTAAAAGTTGGTATTCAACTTACAAACCATTAAAAAAGTCACAGTTGCACCGCGAAATGTACGAATTTGTATTTCTAAACATTCCAAAGCCAAGGAATCCAAGCCTAACGACATAATTTAACAATAAATTTCAATCGAAATAATTGAAAATATAATGCGCAGCATACTCAATGAACGAACTTAGCTTAAAATTACAATTCGAGACGTTACTCAAATGTTCCAACAATACACCGGTGCCAAGGTAGAGCTGTTCCTACGTCGCCATTTCTCTGTTAAGGTTTACACAAATTATACGTACACGGTGGGAAGCATTGAACGCGAGTTAGCGACGTGGTGCCAAGATTGTGACGCGAACTCGGCATACCAAAGGCAAGGAGAAATCGCTGGAAGCTAACAGTGGCCTTTTCGTTGGCCCGTTTAAAAGATTCGACAACCTGGAAGACAGGGTGACAGCTTCTGGTCTGTTGCACACGGTGCTCTCGGCGTTTTCACCCACCCTTCTCCAGACACGCTGCTTTATTTCTCGAGTATTTTCACGCAACTCGTACATCTTCCGCGAACGTTACGACCTACGACTCTTCTTGTATCGCGCGGAGAGAGAAACTTCTTGTTCGGCCATTGGAAGAATTTATAATGGCGTAAGGGACGGGTCGAAAATCGTTAGTTTTTCAGGTATCAGCGAAACATCGCTCCGAAAGCGAGCTGTTTTTATGTGAAAATGTGACGGTAACGTTAAAATTGAAATTGGACTGTTCAACAAGAACTGTCACATTTCTTTTTAAATTTTGATTTTTCTAAGTTGGAAGAATTTATGATATCATAAGAAATATCTGAAGAGTCGTTAGTTTTCAGGTGTTCCCAAAAAATCTCTCTAAAAGTGCACTATTTTTATTTGAAAAAGTGTCACATAATTAAAATTAAAATTGTACTATTTAACAACTGTCACATTTTTTTTTTTTCAAAAATTTCTGTTTCATTGCCAAGCGATCGAGAAATGAACAACTTTCTACCACGAAAAATTTCCAACCAATTTTCTGAAAAATTTATTCTTCTCAATTTGGTCAGTTCATAAAATTGAAACACTATTTAATCTCTTATTTCTTTCTACAAAAAATGAAGTTTATGGCCTTGATGGGTTTATTATTATATGGGTATAATTTATTATTATAATATGGGTATTGTGGGATCAGAAATACAAATAGATGTTCTAATACTATGACACACGCTTCTCGACTTTTCCAAATACACTGTCTCTTCATA